CCCTCTGAGGGGAGGCTAGGATGAGATATGCAGTTTGAGGGATCAGGGGAAGACAAGAGGGTTCTGATAAAGAGTGGATAAGCCCCTCTCCCATCCCATGCCTGCCCAATGGAGACAAAACAAAAAATACAGTGACAAACAAGGCTGCCCCCTTCCCTCCATATTCCCTGAGGAAGGGAGCCTCCCCTCCCCTCATCCAAATCAGCTGCTCTAGTGGAGGACTGGTAAAAATACACACCATGGATGGGGTGGGGTAGGACAGAGGGAGTCACAAGCACTGAGGGCAGGCTAGAGTCCTGGAGGATGGGGAGACAGAGACAACAGCAGGGGGTTGTCAAAAGATGTCGCCATCTATGCCCCACCCCCACCCATGGCATGCCTTCCCCAACTCCAGTCACCCCAGAGGAAAAGGGAAGAGAGATGGCAAAGTGTCTCCTTGGTCTGAAGCTCTTGAACTATATAAAATGGTATGCATACCTCCACCCATACTCTTACCTCCACCTAGGCCCTAGGCTCGCCCATCTACCAGGAGGAGGGAGGTAGCTAGACTTTAATAAGGGGAAGAGGGGGGAACATGAGTGATGTTTTTTTAAAACTTACATTTTTAATAATATTATTCTTTAAAAAACTTGTTGGAGCTGGGATAAGTGGCAGAAAGGAACAAGGAGCCCAGAGCTTCACCCCTCTAATATCAGCCACCTAGGGGAAGGGGCATTCAACCAAGCCCCATGACCTTAACCCCTAAGGGCTGTGGGTATGGACAGCCCCAGTCTTGAAGGAGATAAGCCAGGACAATGGGGAAYCCAGAACTTGGGGTAAAGATGGAGGCAAATGCCCTGGGGGGATGGTCAAGACATTTTTCAGAGGTCCAGGGTCCACGTAGGCATCCACATGAGTAACCCCTTCCCCCAAAAGGCTCTGCAGGGGCCAGGCCCAGCCCAGGGCCACTGGGGGGCACATCTTGGCACCTGCCCCCAGCGAGTCCAGTTCCTCCCTGAAGTGGGTGGATGGAGGCTGCCCATTTTAGATGCTCAGTCTCTTCTTCTGTCTTCTGCTCCCTGGGGCTACRAGGGGTGGGGCAGGCAGGCAGAGCACTGGGTGACCAAGGCAGGGCCTTTATTGGGAGGCCTGTGACGTGGGGTTCTCCGATTTGCTTTCTTGGCTGGACGGAGGCTTGCTGTTCCAAGGGCTGTTGGCGCCCAGTGCAGGGGAGTTGTTAAAGCTGTCCTCGTCGTCAATGCCGTTGGCCTCGTCAAACTGGGTGTTCTCCAGCCSGGTGATGAGCCTCTCGTCCTCGTCCCCGAACTCCCCGCCCATCAGGGTGGGCTCCCCCACCAYCATCACATCCTGAGAGTGGCGGAGGTCCCCAAACATAATCGGGGCAGGGGCTCGCCCGGCCCAGGGCAGCATATACCCCCAGAACCCCCATGCCCACCGTGGAAGTTCAACACACCCCACCCCCTCCTGAAACCCAAGTTTAAAAACCCAACTCCTCTGACACCCTCAGCTCCTGGAATCCTTCCCACCAGAGCATCAAAGCCTTTAGCCCATATTCATCAGATTCCAGCAGAAACATCAATCCCCTAGCTTCCTAATTCATCTCCTCCAGAATTTGAGGGGACTCCTAAACTTCTGTTCACATGTAAGAGGAAGCAGATCAAAAACATGAGGGAGGAAAATGTGTGTGTGCACATGTGCATGTGTGTGTRTTTYAGATCTGCAAACATTCAAGTCTGTGTGTCCCTCTATCAGTGTGAGTATATATTTCTGATACTGTGTGTGTCCCAAGCTGTCTGCCCTGAATGTCCATGTTTTCAAGGCTATCACCATTCCTGTATGTTCCATGTGCCTGTGGCTGACTCTGTGTGATCACCACCATGCATGTGCCTGCAAGGATTCTCTCATCAGTGAAAGGAGTCAGTTCATGCTGGCAAAATATATGGTAAAAATATATTTGTTTCTATGCCTGCTATTGAGCTCAAGCTTGGACAGGGGTCAAGGGTGAGTGGTGGGGCAGCCCAGAAGAGAGAAGAAAGCCGAGATGCTTACAGGTACCTGGCTGGAGAGGGCGAAGGTGCTGGCTGGGCTCTTCTTCTTACTGTTGCTGTTGTTAGTGTTGCCACCCCCTGAACTCATGGTGCTGCCCCCTGACATCTTCCGTTTCCGCCGTTTGCTGGGCTGTTGCCGTGCAGGCTCCGC